CATCACCTCTCTCCCTCACATCAGCTCCCATCCTTCCATCACCTCCCTCCCTCACACCAGCTCCCATCCTTCCATCACCTCTCCCTCACATCAGCTCCCATCCTTACATCACCTCCCTCCCTCACACCAGCTCCCATCCTTCCATCACCTCCTCCCTCACACCAGCTCCCTTCCCCCCATCACCTCCCTTCTTCACACCAGCACAGCATGTGATATTTTGTAATAATTTATATCAGACCATTCTGTTTAACAAACAGCACCACTTATGGATTTTTTTTCAAATTGCCTCATGAATATTCATATTTTTTTTCCGTTTCTGCTTTCAGGCTGAATTGATTCGTGCATACGACACAACGAAGACCAAACCCGAAGGACTGTAAAGAAATTTACAGTACTTCAACTCAACTACTTAAAGACATTTTTTTTAAATAAATTTAGACATATGGCTGATTGTATTGTTTGCTGTGTATATATTATAAATACTGTCTAGTTGCTATTTATTCTGAAACGTGAATGCTCTTATTTCCCGCCAAATAAAAGTGATACATATTCAAGGATTTCAATGAATATATTCAGGTATTATTTTAAAATTAATCTCTGTACTTCTGTGTGACCAAACTGTTTTTTTTTTAAGTGAAAAATACTTTTTCACAGTGTGAGAGCAAAACATATAAAAAAGATGTGACATCTAGTTGTGCATTGTTTGTTTACTTTGTAATAAGATAATAGTCAGGTGAGATTTATTGTAAACAGTGTTAAATTATTAAATTTGTTATACTTGTGCAAATATAGCTGAGCATGTTTTCAGGAAAAAAAATTGTTTTTCCTTTGTGCATGAGAATTTTAACATTTTCAGCACCAAACATTTGCCTCATCTTTCAAAAGGTTTGGTTTAATGTGATATAAATTATTATTATTTATCCTGGAATAATGATATGTTTTTTTTACAATGATTTAACTCTCTCTTAATATTATTAAACATCTGACTGTCAGTGTCTCACTTCTTTTTCTGACAACATTTCAAGTTCCCTTTGGATAAAAGTATGTTATTGTGACACCAAGCATAATTAAAAACATAAGATGTAAGGTGTTCACATCTACTGATTGTCAGTACACTTGGTGTTACTTCTCTTATAATTGGTTTATCATAACAAGGGGGGGGGGGCAATTTTACTAATAAAAACAAGTTTTAAAATAGCTTTCAAATGAGATTCTGGTCAAAATAGGTTTGGCTTATTATAGGAACTTTAAAATGTCTTTTTTTGCCAATTTCAAGTTTTTCGTTATTTATTTTCCTGAAGAAGGAATGAAATTTCCATTTCTGAGGCTTGTACTTTCTAGAATGGCAGTGAACGAATTTGATTGTCCAAATACATGTCTGTCTGCATATAATTATGAGTAAGGCAGTCATTGGCCAAGCTTATCCAACCCCTGTCAATCTGCTTGTAATTTTAACAAAGCCATTGTAGATCTTTTGCTGATTTTTTTTTTTTTAAAAGTAACAATTCAGGTTATATTTTCAGTTACATGTATGTTACATTGTGTGTTTCTGTAATGTGATGCAAGTATGTAGCTATTTCTTAACCTATAAATATTTACCAGGGGTAGTGAGAGTCATTTAGTTCTTTGCAGATATATGCTTGTAAAATCACGACTCACAGTTACATGTGCTTGTAAAATCATGACTCAGTTACATGTGCTTGTAAAATCATAACTCACAGTTACATGTGCTTGTAAAATCATGATTCACAGTTACATGTGCTTGTAAAATCATAACTCACAGTTACATGTGCTTGTAAAATCATGACTCACAGTTACATGTGCTTGTAAAATCATGACTCACAGTTACATGTGCTTGTAAAATCATAACACACAGTTATATGTGCTTGTAAAATCATGACTCTCAGTTACATGTGTTTGTAAAATCATAACACACAGTTATATGTGCTTGTAAAATCATAACTCACAGGTACATGTGCTTGTAAAATCATGACTCACAGTTACATGTGCTTGTAAAATCATGATTCAGTTACATGTGCTTGTAAAATCATAACACACAGTTATATGTGCTTGTAAAATCATAACTCACAGGTACATGTGCTTGTAAAATCATGACTCACAGTTACATGTGCTTGTAAAATCATGATTCACAGTTACATGTGTTTGTAAAATCATAACACACAGTTATATGTGCTTGTAAAATCATGACTCTCAGTTACATGTGTTTGTAAAATCATAACACACAGTTATATGTGCTTGTAAAATCATGACTCACAGTTACATGTGCTTGTAAAATCATGACTCACAGTTACATGTGCTTGTAAAATCATGACTCACAGTTACATGTGCTTGTAAAATCATAACTCAGTTACATGTGCTTGTAAAATCATGACTCACAGGTACATGTGCTTGTAAAATCATGACTCACAGGTACATGTGCTTGTAAAATCATGACTCTCAGTTACATGTGCTTGTAAAATCATGACTCACAGTTACATGTGCTTGTAAAATCATAACTCACAGTTACATGTGCTTGTAAAATCATGACTCACAGTTACATGTGCTTGTAAAATCATGACTCACAGTTACATGTGCTTGTAAAATCATAACACACAGTTATATGTGCTTGTAAAATCATGACTCTCAGTTACATGTGTTTGTAAAATCATGACTCAGTTACATGTGCTTGTAAAATCATAACTCAGTTACATGTGCTTGTAAAATCATGACTCACAGTCACATGTGCTTGTAAAATCATGACTCACAGTCACATGTGCTTGTAAAATCATGACTCACAGTTACATGTGCTTGTAAAATCATAACTCAGTTACATGTGCTTGTAAAATCATGACTCACAGTTACATGTGCTTGTAAAATCATGACTCGCAATTACATGTGCTTGTAAAATCATAACTCACAGTTACATGTGCTTGTAAAATCATGACTCACAGTTACATGTGCTTGTAAAATCATGACTCACAGTTACATGTGCTTGTAAAATCATAACTCAGTTACATGTGCTTGTAAAATCATGACTCACAGTTACATGTGCTTGTAAAATCATAACTCGGTTACATGTGCTTGTAAAATCATGACTCACAGTTACATGTGCTTGTAAAATCATAACTCAGTTACATGTGCTTGTAAAATCATGACTCACAGTTACATGTGCTTGTAAAATCATGACTCACAGTTACATGTGCTTGTAAAATCATAACTCACAGTTACATGTGCTTGTAAAATCATAACTCACAGTTACATGTGCTTGTAAAATCATGACTCACAGGTACATGAGCTTGTAAAATCATGACTCACAGGTACATGTGCTTGTAAAATCATGACTCACAGGTACATGTGCTTGTAAAATCATGACTCACAGGTACATGTGCTTGTAAAATCTTAACACACAGTTACATGTGCTTGTAAAAACATAACACACAGTTACATGTGTTTGTAAAATCATAACTCACAGTTACATGTGCTTGTAAAATCATGACTCACAGTTACATGTGCTTGTAAAATCATAATTCACAGTTACATGTGCTTGTAAAATCATGACTCACAGTTACATGTGCTTGTAAAATCATGACACAGTTACATGTGCTTGTAAAATCATGATTCACAGTTACATGTGTTTGTAAAATAATAACTCACAGTTACATGTGCTTGTAAAATCATGACTCAAGTTACATGTGCTTGTAAAATCACGACTCACAGTTACATGTGCTTGTAAAATCATGACTCACAGTTACATGTGCTTGTAAAATCATAACTCAGTTACATGTGCTTGTAAAATCATGACTCACAGTTACATGTGCTTGTAAAATCATGACTCACAGTTACATGTGCTTGTAAAATCATGACTCACAGTTACATGTGCTTGTAAAATCATGACTCACAGTTACATGTGCTTGTAAAATCATAACTCACAGTTACATGTGCTTGTAAAATCATGACTCACAGTTACATGTGCTTGTAAAATCATAACTCAATTACATGTGCTTGTAAAATCATAACTCGCAGTTACATGTGCTTGTAAAATCATAACTCACAGTTACATGTGCTTGTAACTTGATGACACAATTTAATGTGCTCATAAAATCATGATGGAGTCGCATTATGTGCTTGCAATATTTCAGTTTCAGTTTGATGACAGTTTGACAGTTTTTGTGTATAACGATAATGTAATTTAAACCAGAATCAAACTTGTATTGTATTTCATTGTAGACATTCTTATAGAAACATGTTTAAATTATGTGATTTTTGACTGCCATTATAAATAGTCTAGTAACAATATTCAGTAATGTAATAATAATCCATCTTGTGACTTTCATGTCAGTTATCTTTATTATTAGAAAATTAGTTGAACATGCATTTTAAGATTACAAATTATAGAAAATAGCATTTTTACGAGTCAAATGAGTTTTAATTGTTGTAAAGATTTGTACCGTATTTGCTCTAAAAGAAGCTCATATAAGCTAAAAATTGTGTTTATTGTATACAGTATCATTTAAATATGACTTATTTTGAGCATAGACACACGTATGTCATTTACATAATTACATGCACTACTAATTTAACAAATAAGGTATATCTGTAGTGAGTAGACTGGCTTAGCACTGGCCTCACACTACTGTGTATGCACTGTACTGAGAGAAATATAATTTATTTGTATTTCAAGGTTTGTATTGAACCACAGACCAGAATGTAGCCTTGGATGCAAGAGATACAGTACAATTTGTTTGTTAACTGAATTTAATGTTTCCTTTTGCCTTCTGTCTATGAATGAACAATCATCTGAATAACATGCACGTCTCTGCTGATTTAGAAAATCCTATCGTCATAGTAACATGAATTCTGTATGAACAAAGCAGCTTAAAAGAAACAAAAAAACATGAATTAAAGTTGCAATTCCAATTTCTTTTATATGCAGGACACCTGCCACCATCCCACTTATACAATCAATTGATTTTGCTACAAATCCTGAAATATATAAACAATGAAGCAATCCAGTACTGAAAGTTGTGAGTTGTAATCACCAAATCAAACTTAATTAGAAGACTTCTACATTTGATATCCATATTCTGTTGGGTAACATTTCTCATGAACTGTAAAATATGCCACTCCGTGTGATACTTGCAGGGGTCAGTGAGAGATTTTTTACAAATCTTACCAAGTGTGAATGCAGCTATAACATATGTAAATATATTCTATACTGTTGGCTCTATTACGAGAGCATCTCCATATCCAAAACAAAAATTGTATTTGTTCTCTACTGAATTATCAAAATATTATTTGTTTTGATCATAGAAATACCTTTGTAATTTTATGCAGTGCATACACTACTAATAGAACAAATACGGTACTTGGCTTTACAGCC